CACGTTTCTCTCCCGTCATTAATTAAGTATTCATTTAAATATTTAACAATTACACTGTACCTAAGTCAAGTTATTTTAAACACGTCAAGCAGTGCATTATCCTTCAGTCTAGCAATAACTTTCCATCTCTCTGTCAACGGAATATGAGTACTTTCAAGGATTCCTGTTAATTAGAAGCCACCTGCATTACCAAATTGTGACGATACTGTGTTCATTATCAACTGAAGATAGACGGTAATTACAAATTTCACTAGTGTACCATATTCGAAACCCTATTAATGTTCTGTTCACATACTTCTATGTCTGAGGTTCTGTGTGATCCCATCAGGATCTAATGAGGTTCATTATTAACTGTTTACAAGTTCTCACACAGCACGCAATATTTCGATGTATGAACCTATAATGTTCAGTCAAGTCAATATATTTATGCACTAACAGCTACTGAGAAAATGAAGGATTGTAACTTGGTTTTTAACTCTCTCAAAGTGAATGATAAATTAGCTGCACGTCAGGACACTAGGAAGCCTGCACAGATTACATACAAACAATATAGCTCAACTCGTATGATCTTAAGCCTAGAAATATTTACATGCTAGTAATAAGCTTCTCATATTCTGTATATGAATCCTCTTTTCTTGTTTGCGAATGTTGAAATGGTTAAGAACTGAACACCTACTTCCTAATGTCTCGCAAAGGATTGATAACTCGGATAAAATTATTAACATTGATGAATTTCAAGTAAACTGGAGATAAATGAATAATCTGTAATCTATTTATTAGACTAATATTTTCAAACGAAGTTGAATTTAAGTCCCTTAAATTGTATAACAGTAATATGAAAACATAAAAAGTATCTCATTAAGTCAAAGACTGAAATATAACAGAAAAGTACATACACCTCAGGCTGTGCGTAGCCTAGTTCTTGGAACACTTGGCTTGGATCAGAAGATCCAAAGTTTGAGCTCTTGATATGCTACTGAACACGATCCGCACTTTTAATCCTGCTATTCGATTAGAAGAGCCGTGGTTAACAGTTCTAAGTCTATCTCAGTTATTACTAAGCCTTGAACTCTCTTATCTAACCGTTTCGTCTATGTATTGCATAAGTTGCTGTTGACACTAAAAATCTCAAACACCACACTCCTACTCCTAATGATATATATATATATGTGTATTTCTCTACTAACAGTACTATGCCACATTAATAAAAACATGTTTTTACGTAAGTAATTATTTTATTTTTCGATGAGACTTTAATCCCTTCCTAGGAGCCAAAGTTTGTAAAAATAAGAAAATAATGTAAGTGAAAGAATATTCCAAAGTTTTTGTTTCAAGTAATATGTGGAACTTTTTACATTGATGAAGCTGGAAGACGTTCAGCGGCAAGAACAAAGCAACATAAAGTTTACACAAGACTGATAAAAACACGAAATTCTGCCTTGGCAGAATAGGGCATGTTGACCAGACATAATATATACTGGGATAATTACAGACACATCGACTCTGATAAATTATAGAAGAAAAAACAAAGAAAACTAAAAAAAAATATTTCTTCATCAACACGATGAAACAATCACTTAAAGGAGATTAAGGCCTGGAAATCAGTACGTTTTGGCTATCATTAGTGAGATCGTCATTCGTTCCATCAATCGCGTTATAAGAACACCGGCAATCACGTCACGTCAATTTCAGTCCTTCCGTATACCATATAAATCCTTGTGAAAACAGAGCAAACTGACCTGAAGACGAAAGACGGAAGTCTTGTGAAATGCCGTTCTTTCTATCTGAGCTAATTTTGTATATTAGTCCTCCAATATTTGCTCTATAAGTGTCATTCTGGACTAAGCAGTTGCTGCTAATTTCACCTTGGTTTGTTCATGATAAGTGCTTAGCTTAAATCATCTGTAAAAAAGATTCATGTTCTTAATTACATAAACATAGAAAGTATATTTACAGATGTTCCTCAGTGCGATTACTCTAACAACTAAGAGTTTAAACATGCAGACAAGCTATTTACTTTCCTTAGCATAACAAGAAGTAACTATAATTGATTTGTTTACTTTGAGCTATATATTTATGTCACAAAGAAAAATGTCATTTAATTCTCCTTAAATATTAGAAACTATCAAATAATTTACTTCTCTTCATCTTGATCTGTGCTCCTTTCCTTATTTGTAATGTATATACTTAAACGATTTTTGTTTATTAAACAAACATTTTCCACTGAGCTTGGAAATAAAATAAAAATGTAAATGATTCATCTATTTCGTCGAACAGTACAACGATCCCTATAACGCAGTAGAGTTTATAAACAGTGTTCATAACCTGCAAGAAAACGTGTCATGCCAATATCACTAGCTTCCTTCCAGCCTTACAGCTCAAAATTAGGAACCAAGCACATATACAAATATAAACAAACTAATGTAGCTTGTAACGTGATTATATTCGTACCTTGTTAATGTAACAGAGCCAAATGTGTCATCTACTGAGAAGTAACATACATTAGTGTCAAACATGAAGGCTTTGTAATGCACAAGGTTATATGCATATTATGGAAATGCATACAAATTAGCTACCATCCACGTATGTCGAGATAGATATAGAAGTATGGTCGGATGATAAATAGAGTTTTTTCTTGTTATATATGTAAGCAAATCGCACTTATCAGCCATATAAAAAGATAGTCAAGGGTATGTGACCACTTTTTCCTGAAAATAAAAATTCTCACAGCGAGATTCGTAAACTACATAAAGGTGAAATACACGATAATTCCAAAAAGGGGTCTTTACTGCTCTCTCTCTGGGAGAGAAATAACTCACACATTACTGTTTAGAATGACAATTAGCGCTGCAATAACATCCAAGAATCGGAGCTAACGCTCATATACACAAATTGTAAGAAACGATTTCGACAGAGAATCTTTTCACCTAGAAAAACATTGTGATGAAGCTGGTAAGCCATTCTGATAACCTTAACAACATAGTGAGCAGGAATGTGATGTTAACGAAGTCTCATAAGCCTAAGTCTCCAGCCACATCTCAAAATGAGCAGCTGTTTGCGTAAAAAAGAAATTAGAATTATAATATTTCCTATGTACAATATACTTTTCAAACTCCTCCGATGTATATTAAATGGTCATTTGTGCCTTTAATTCATAAGCGCGAGCTTTTAAATCACAGATCAATAGCTATTTTTTGAAAACTGTATGAGAGGAGTGGAAGATTTAACCTAACTTTTTCCAAAGAGGGCTGTTATTGAAGAGACATTTTTAAAGAACCATGGTTAAAAACACACGCAATATATACGTATGATGATCCCAAAGATAAATACATTATACAGTAATTTTAGGACGAACTTAATAGTAATTTCCAAAAAAAAAGTGTAAATAGCTTTACCTATTAACCACAATATGAATAACAAACTGAGATTTTATCATATTTTCCATTAACTTGACAAGATTGTACCTATAGAGTATATATACGAGTTTATGATTGAAATACAGTAAACAGAGTAAGGTTATCCGTAGTCTTGATAACTGTGAAAATGTACGTTCAATGCCATAAGGCAATAACGAATTTACGTTTTGGTGTATCTATCATACTTTAAACAACATCTTAATATAGAAAACATTAGTCTGGGAATTCTTCAGATTATGCCAACACCAGTTATCGTGAAAATGAATAATTTTATCTGTAATACACTTCGAGAATAGTTAATCACAATGTTTTCATCATTAACTAAATCATTTATCAATCGTTTACAATATAAAAAGGAACATGTAGGTTGTATAAGCTATACGACAGAGTTTGTGATATTTCAAGGTTAGGTGTTTTATTTATTGTTTCTTTAGCGATGCAAGTCAGACAGTTTTTAAAATGAACCAGTTCAATGTAAATTATGTCTCGTCGAGATGGAGGTCGCCTTCTTGAATGAACCAATAACCGGACGAGTTCAAAGAAACAGATAGCGTGATATGCATAACCTAGATTCAGATAACTTGCAAGCTAAGCTAAAAGAACAAAAACATGTTTCGAGGCCAGCAGAAAAGTCTTATAACTATACCGATTCACTAAGAATGATTATGACTCGAATTGTTTTTGCAAATTTGTATGTATACTGAAATGTAACTAATTGTGCTTATCTTAAAATAGAATAAATAATATTTCATATTAATTATAGTAGACTGATTGCTACAGAAACTATTTAATCTAATAGTTACTGTTTTTCTGCTGACAGAAGTGTCTCTAATGAAACATTTATGTAACATAATAAGTGCATTGCAGTGTACTGGAAATGTGTAGAATACTTGTAAAAGTAGAAAGAAAGGGATATATTAGATAAATTAGAATCTCTCTAGAGAAATTCAACCACTGATGTTAACCTATTGTAAGGATTTCTGAAATGATAGGTATCAAAATGACCGTCGAAAATTAATGTTTTTCTTAAATCACTCAACTCGACAGTAAAATTCAAGTAATTCAGTAAACTCAAATGATTGAAGTTCCATGATACGTAAACTCATATCACAGAAATACTGTTACCTTCCAAACCATTAAGAATGTTAAAAACAACCATAACGAGGCGAGTTAATAACTTTATCTGTGTTCATGAAGATACATGTATAACATTAAATAACACCCTTATAACAAATATTTTTTGTACATTTTGGCTTCCGGCAAAGTTTTTGTTAACAAAATAAAGCTATAATTATGAAAGACATGATAATACTTTTATTTGTGCTGTGATGTCAGTACAGATGAAATTGCTTCTAAACCACTACGAGATCATGCATTAACTATAAAACATGTTTTTTAATCCTGTAACAAAGATTTATTATAATATTTTTTCAATTATTCTCGAATGAAATACAGGTATTAAAGATACTAAACCAACATTTTTTTATTCTAAAGTGTCAAATTTATTATAATATTATAGAATAGAATTGATATATTTTTTTTGCTTTCATTCCAAACCCTAATGTTTTTATTATGTACTTTCAGAGCCCCCGGTGTCTCTCAAAGGGGTACAGGGTAAAGATGTTGACCTGCCATGTAACATCACACCTCCAACACCAGATGATGAAGTGGCTTTGGTTCTCTGGTACAGAGATGACTCTTCTACACCCTTTTATAGTCTGGACGCCAGGAGAGGTGGGTCACCAGGACAAGGGAGACATTCATCCAGTGATAGTTACGCTACTAGAACGTATTTCAGCACCGTTTCTAAGCCGGCCACTCTTCAGCTAGCTGCTGTGACAGGAGATGACAAAGGAGTATATATATGCCGTGTAGATTTCAGAAAAGCTAGAACCCGCTACTCGGAAATCTCTCTCTCGATTATAAGTAAGTCACTCTTTTAAAAAGATAGCTTAGTTAGCTTAATGAGAAGGCAAATTTAAATTATATCGTCAATTTTTTGTTGGTTAATAGAAAATCGGGTAGTATATAATTCTCTACAAACTGAATTAGGAACGAAATGACAACAAACCGAACAAAGGTTGTACGTTAGATTTCTCAATTCGGAACGACAGGGGTATTTTTTGTTATTAGCTAACCTAGTAGTTTGGATGTCACTCGTTGCTAATTATAAGCAAATCCTAAGTGCTGCAGGTCCCATTTACTCTACTTTCATGCCTGGTTTAGCACAGGACGAAGACAACGAAGATGGCTTTTAACATCTTCACGGTACATCTCATCATTTCCACAGCTGACTGAAGAAAATAACACTGGAATGGTTGACGGACGATTCTTGTAACTCGGTTTAAGTGATAAGTATAGGAACCAAATATTAAAGCCAAGGCTACGCTACGATACTGATTTAATTATGGAGCTAAGGCATCTCTTCTTCGTTAAATAATGGGAGATAGATGATATCTTATCAACTAAAGTCAATTAATTCTCTAGCAGTGCTTTATTGAAAATTGGACGTATTGGCGCTAAATGATACACATGTTTGGTTCATACACATGTTTAAATATCCAAATAAGAAGTATTTATCAAGTAATTAGCCACCTATCTTTCATGTATAATGAAGTTATTTTGGGAAAGATTTTATTTTAAAACACGTTTCTTCTATAGCCTTCCTCATTACAATTATTGTCACATCTTCAAGAAACGATAGCACGATTTATATTAAGAATAGAAAGCATAACTTGAATTATGTTCAAGTGACTGAAAAAAATATAGAAAAGTTTCATTTTGGTGTCATACATACATTTTTTTTAGTATTGCAGGATGATAATTATTTGAAAGTATACGAAGCGCTTCATTTGGAGTAGTTTATAGTAATAAATACAACTATATAATAACATGCTTTTGAATGCAATTTAAGTGTTTGTTAATATAAGTCAATTATTATGATTACATTTTTAGAATAAGAATTTAGGTAGGCAGTTCTTAACCAATAACTTTAACTGCCATTTCAGTTTTGTTTTTCTTTCAGGCTGTAAAAAACAACAACAACAACCGGATCTTAAGAGCTTCATTTTGTTAAATAAAGTATATCACGATCTTCGTTTTTCTTTTGCTCACTAAAAGGGGTTAAAGAACCTCGACTAGTTAGAACGTCTATAAAAGATAGAACCAAGATTTCCCTAAAATTACAACACTTTACAAAGTCTCAGCGTGGATAACACAAACATTGTTTGCTTTCAAGTTCAACAGTGTAAAGAAATCTTAATAAAAGAAAATAATTTGAAAACTGAGTATGTGGTTTATGAAACATTGAATGTATGAAATACAGCCAAAAAACTCTCTTTTTTTAATTATAAGTAACATCAACTTTTATATAATTGATTTTTGTGGTTGATAATATTCTGTTTTGATATTCCAAGAAGTCTAGTTCATTTAAAACACTTTACTAGGTAAAACATCCATAATGGAGCTTAAACTTCACATGCTATTTTTGACGTTTCTGGGTCAGTCGCTTATTGAGAAACCCTTTCACTTCTTGTGTAGTTTTTATAAGATTCTGAGGTTTCTTTACTTCTTAAATGTTAAAGTAAACCTTAAACAAGGATTTATAACGCAAGTTGATCAAACAAGGTGTTTGTTAGTTGGTCTCGAGTTTTGATTTTAAGATCTAATCTTTTTTATGCTTCTTGAAACTCATAAATTTTCATGAATTCTTTAAGTATTCAAGAACAAAAAAAAAGGAGGGCGTGTTTTAGGATCTCGGGAATTCAAAGTTTAGCCAACCATATAGTTTACCCATCAACTAACGGTTCTGTTTTTAAGTTTCATCACAGAAAGTAGCCCCTGGAATGTAAATTATTTAGTCGAAGATAAACCTTTTTTTTTTCCTGAAGAAGGTGATGAATGAACACTGTCAATTACCGTTTTGCCGCCTCTTAAATCTTGTTTTTATGAACAAAACATACCTAAGGCCATAATGGAAGAAATAAATGTGAAACGGTATTTTTATGTTCAAAAAGAATCCTCATGTTTATTAACAATATCCTAAGGTAACTACCAAAGTTGTAAAATTTTGAAATATTGAAGAAAATGTAATTAAGAAAATAACAACACTTATATATTTTTTCGAATTTCTAAACATTGATACGATATGGTTTGTCCTCAGTAGTTAACTTGGGTTCTGCAGGTAATGAAAGGCAAGTGTAATATTGCCCCCCAGTAGCACAGCGGTATGTCTGCGGACTTACAACGCTAGAAACCGGGTTTCGATACCCGTGGTGGGCAGAGCACAGATAGCCCTTTGTGTAGCTTTGTGCTTGATTTCAAAACAAACAAACAAGTGTAATATTTATTAATTATTCTAAAATTAAAAGTGTAAATTCCACAGAAACACTTAAACAAACATATGACACAACACCACTATTTTTCAGTATATTTCGTTTCACTGTTTTGCAGGAGCCTAAATAAAGTGAAGTATAATTACTCAATTGTCATTTTAATGAGGATAAATATTCCATTTATTTGATATACAGACTCAATTAATCTGTATTATGTAGGCATATGTTGAGCAAATTCATAATAACTTTCAATCACTTTTAAGTATGAGTATGTCACTAAATTGGAGTATACATATATCAACATATATCTCGAATAATATTAACGAAATTATTTCACACATTCCATTTCATATCGCCCTTTGGGCCGACCATAGCGTAATGATTAGCGTGCTAGGAGTGTGAATCCAAAGGTTAATAGTTCGCAGCCCGTTGCTACTAAAACGTACTCCGCACATTGAGATCGTGATCCTCATGTAAGAGAGATGGTTATATACCACTAGATGGTCATGCAATGGTAGCCCCAAAGATTTGTAGTAAGTGTTGTTTAGCAGCTGCCTTCACTGTAGTCTGTCAATACAAAGCTATAGACAACCATGTGAAGATTGCTTTTGTGTAGCTTTGCGCTAAAATTATGAAATAAACTTAACTCCTTCTGGAATAGGCTTACGAATGTTCAATATATTCTGTTACGTGTTTGCATTAACGCATTTTTAAGTTCACTATTCCTAAGGGAGATTATTCTTTAAGTGTAATTGGTCGTGCTTACTTATGCAGCTTTAACAGAATAATGTATTTGATTAAAATATGCTAAGATATTTCTTTAATATGGCAGCCATAAACTAGCCTATAAATGTTTAAAAGACTAAAGTAGATATACGTTTTAAAATTAAATTGTATTTTTATCTTCTCAATTAGCATTTATTATTGATGTTTAACGCTAATAGGCAACTCGTATCACAACATGATACTTTTTAAAACTCTGATTCAAACGTTTGCTTTTAGTGACGGTTCGAAGAAATACTCACATATAATTCGTTTCTCTCCATATCTATATTTCCAGCATTTTTCCAAGTCATTCGTTTCAAACACATTAAAATAGTTTATCCTGTAGAGTTTTTTGTTTTGTCAAAAAGATTAGATGGATGAATCTGTAAACAGCGTTTATCATATTCATTCTATCGCATGCCGATTAGTTAATAGCTATGTTTTAGCAGGGATTTCAGTGAAAACTTATAAAACGGTGTAATCTTTTTTTATTTATTTTGAGATGTGGAACACATAACGGATTTTGATTCTATAAAACTAGCACAAAATTTTGAGGTAGTGCACTGCAGTTCTAAATACTTGCATTATATTGCACTATTGCATAGCGCATATCTGAATCGTTCAATTTTGATATAAATCAGTATAAATAAAAAATATATATGCTAATAATTTTTCATATTACTCAAATAAATGTTTAAAATGAATACAAATGAACCAAAACACCACACGGTAATAGGTGAACTAAACAAAATGTCGTTGGATACACATGTGTATATATATATACACACACACAGATACACATATAAACATATATATATATATATATTTGTGTGTGTATTTATACATAAGCAGCCATTGTATATTTGTATGGAGACATTCAATCTCTGAGATCTATTGTATCTAATTATCTTTTTCCGGGAAGCTTGAGCAGAAATAGCTTTAGCTTTCACAACTTCCACAGCTGTAGAAGCTATACTCTTCTGAATAACCAAATGACCGAAACTAATGTAAAAGTTCAGCTAACATAATTCTGCCAGTCCTCAAGATTTCCTTCATTACGAGGACTGACGTTGTTACGTCACAGCAAACTTTTATGCATTTATATTTTTTTGTTATTGAATGTTAGTTTTGTCTTTCTAGCGATTTGAGATATGCACTCCTGTCAATAAGGTATTTTCTTATTTAAACCATGGCACTGTTGTATATACAAACAATATTAGACTTTATGAGTACATGAGATAAACATCCAGGTCAAGTATGGGTAACCCTAATTTTGATCTACTGGTAAGAAGGAAGACAGCCGTTTCCAAAGAGTTTTGTCCATCTATAAGCAGAGTAACGGGGTTTATTTCCACTCTTATAACAAATCCATAGCTGAAAGTACGTGTTCAGAGGTGTACCTGTGCAAATCTTAGACGCTAATCACAAATCCACGCCTGGTCTGTATGAACACGGATTTTGGTTTTTATTTGTTCATAGCACCAATAATAATTCGGTTTCAACAAACCATTTCGTTACAAGTAGTGAACTGCATGAGTTAAGTAAATCAAATCTAATAGTAAGTTTACGAACTTAATGATAAAATCCTGGATTCGATTCCCCGCGGGGCACATAACACATATAGCCCATTGCGTAGCCTTGGGCTAAAACGATATCAACAACATCAAGAAAAGACATATTTTAGGTTTTAAGAATCGTAAAAACGTACATCATTTATTCTTCAAAGGTAAAAGAGTATATTGAGCTAGGATTATTGTAGTTACTCTTATAAGTGTTAAGTAAAAAAACCAACACCATTAATTGTTTATAAACACAGCATGATAGATG